GAATTTGTTCTAATTCATCTTCCGATGATATTTTAGTTAACTGAAACGAATAATAGTGATCGTCGTCGTCATTTGGCATTTGTTTTATCGTTTGCATTAAACAATCTTTTGCTGTGTCATAATTCAACGATGTGCGCAGTATTGTATGTTTTCGAATGAGACATAATAATGCCAGTTTTAAATGCCGAATTGATATCGTTTGTTGATTCATGATTAGTTTAAAACACATTGGCACATTATAAATGGCCAAAATATTGTGCTGTTCACCTGATTTGTCATTATCATAACTTATGAATCGAATGTGTTCATCCAAATATATTCGCTCTTGTGCCATTGATGCTCGAGCTAAAACGTAGAGAGAAGGCATACTCAAATACAATTGGGTAATTGTGTGTTGAACAGTTCGCAAGAGCAACTGCGAAGTGAACTTAAATGTTCACAGCTAATAATTGTCTATCGAATAGCCTTTAAGTGTGCTAACGCAGACATTCTTCTCTATGCATGACGACCGTTGTGTTCGCACATACTCCAGATCGATGGTATTCGGTGAAGCGATTCCCTTTTCGATTGAAGGGCTAGTTTCACTGTTGCGAACAGTTAAGCACTGCGAAACAATAATTTTAGAGATGAAAAAGACGAGTGTACATGTGTGATTCTGCGGCGATCATCCAGTCAGGTGCTAATAATCTGGCAATATTTTAAATAGGGCCATGAAGAGTGTTGAGCAATATACATTAATGATTTATCTGTTTTGTCTGAAATTACGGCTCAAATAGATGCCTTCGCCATATTCTCTGAGCATCATACTCTTTCAGATAGAAACGAAACTCAGAGAGACGGGTGGTGTTGTCTTGCTTTTCTCAGAATGATAAGTTATATATGCGTTTTCGGGCTGTCGAGGCCGATGCTTAACTTGTGGGTAGTTCGTTGTTTGAAAGAGGTATGTGGAAAACCGTGGTGATTAGAGAGTTGTAGTAGTGGTTTGTAAAAATTTTTTTTTAAAAATGTATGCGGTGCAAATGCTGGCTTCTGTAGAAGAAAGAGGAAAGAACAGTGAAGGGAGTAGAATTAATATGCGGGTATAAGTTGCGTTTTAAAGTAAATGGTTCATGTGCGAGAAAAGTGTTTTTTGTGAAGCATACAGAGAAAAGCAATCCACCCTAGCAACGGCACGCAGGTTTTTGAAATAGAAGACCATTCTTTTAGGAAGGGTTTTGGTAGCGGATAGTGTTGTTCTTCTAAGTGGACATAATATGCGCCTGTTTAGCGGGCGCCGAGATACTCCAGAACTTCTAAAATGATGTACCGCAGTAGTATATTCATGTATGTGTTTATAGAGTTGTTTGCTTCTCGAAATAAACTATTATTAAAGATTATCGATTATCGTCACTCAAGATTTCAGATTTGCTATGAGCCTCATACGTATGAGATGAACCGTAAGAACGTTATGAGGGACTGAAACGTGTGGTCCTGCCCACGGTGAGTCCCATGGCCATACTTAACTTCAAAAAAATTCTTCTATTGGTGACACACCTTCTTCTTATGCAACACAAACTCATCAGACCAAGCACAACTTTTCATAACTTCTGATGCTGTTGTGTATGACGAAACCAGAGGATCTGTTTTACACTAAATTCCTCAAAACTTAGCATAACGTAAGCTACCGCAAGACATGTTCCGATAAGATGGAGTACGGTAACTAATGTAAGTTAAGCGGTGATGACTTTTCTCCCGTTATGCGGTTTATTCGCACACCTCAACGATATACCAATCTCAACGTGCACCACATAGTACTTGATGTTACGACGTAAACACCTACTGGAGAATATTGCGAGGAGAGAAGGGGACGGAACCTAGCTCTGAGCACTTCCTTAAAAAAAGGGAGTGTCACTTATATGCTTCGAACCGTTTTGTCTGGTTCACTGTTTTGTCTTCCTTCACATGGAGTTGTAAGAGTTCAAAATTACACAAGTCAACTAAGCAAAACTTGTGTGCTATACACTAACTGTTTTCCTAAAACAAACTTGGTGATTGAGTAAATCGCTCCCTTTCGAAGAAATAACCGCTGATATGAGCGGATTGCAGTTGTTTCTAACCGGGGTGAACCGCAGTTTTCAACAAAAACAACCACCTTTAGCTGCGGTTCGATCGAAAAGGGAGCGATTTTATTCAATTGAGCATACGGCGAACTCTGCAAACTGCGTTTTCGCAATGAAAAACGTTTTTGATCAAAAAAGTTTTTCATTGCGAAAACGCAGTTTTTCAACAACCGGGGTCTCCAAAGACACATTGGCAAAAACCATCGTCATATCAGCATGCTCGGTTACCCATTGTCCACTATGTTTTACATTAAAAGCGATTTGACAGTTTGAGACTTTCCCTCGTCACAATTTCCCAAATCAGACAGTGCAAGTCCATAATCAGATAGTTAGTTTAGTTATACGAGTTACGTATTCAGTCCTGTGTGCTTCAGAATAAGATTATACAATTAAAACTCTGATTTCTTTTGGACTATTGTCTTTCACAATGTCGAACAGAACTCGACGGCAGGGAGCAGTCGCAACAAAACGCAAACAGATTTTGATTCGCTCTGTTTACTTTTCTCTGCCTTATTTTTTTTCTTCTCTTGCTAAGAAACGACAACTGCATGCAGCATAGGTCTTAATGAAGAGAAAACGCAAGTGTGGTCTCTGATACGTACCTGGTTATCCAAAATCAAAAGCCTCTTCACAGGTGACAGCAAAGTAAATTCAGTGCTGCCGTAGAAGGAAAACTATGTACGTGAAATTACTGGTACCGTCTTATTCAAATTTCTGACGATTCCCAAGTTCTATAATATCTTCTTACCTGTGAGCCGATTAAATGATTTCCATTCACCATTCATTGCTGATAATTTTGTGTTACTTCGAGCTGTAGGATCTGTCACACTAAGCATGTTAATCTTTTGACTACGATAAGTCTTTGTACTGATTCTCTCGCAATCTTAGCTACACAGTTTTGCACTATTTGTACAACCACTCTTCGTAATATAAAATACCTCTATACGTAAGACAAGAAAACAGTCTGTTTCATCAGAGTTATGGAATTTTGATGACACAAAAATTGCCACTTACTGTGCTATTTCTACAGGATAGTTGGAATTCTGTAATATTAAATAGAATGCAACGATATTCTTCTAGCCAAAGTTAATACTGAAATACATAATAATTACTGCAGAATGTCATAAGAGATGCAGGAGTAGAATAGTCTATGTGTACTATTTTGATTCCTACCTATCATCATTCAGGCTTGGCAAGAGTGAATCAACGGTATTAGATTGGGATTATCTACAGGCGGAAAACCCACAAAATAGATGAAAACATAGGCCATCAATCACAGTGAGTCTTATGGAAATGTTTGCTTCTTGTGCGCTATTTGATCTGCACGTTACTTTGAGCTCAACAGTCAAGTTCGAGAATCCTTCAAAATCTTTTTAGTACAAAAA